GTGGAGAAAGGGGAGTTGAGGGGGGCTCTGGCGTTTACATCTCTTTGGCACGTCTGTGGCTGTTTCCATGGTGATGGGAGTAAAGATAGTTGGGATGTCTCAGAGATTCGTACAGTGCGCTGAGCGGTGCTGGCTGCTGGACGTGAGTTGAAGGATGAACAGGAAGCGGGAGAGGAGGGCGCCGGCTCACGGGCATCTCAGCCTGAACCTGTGGGAGACATCAACACCGGCCGCCAGATGAGACGGATGAGACTCCTGTTTGTCGGCAGCGGCTGCTTTGTTTACCCTCCACTCTCAATGTGAAACGACACGTCCAGCTGCACCAGGCACCTGCTTCATTACACTAAATGATAAAGTGCAGCTGCAACAATCACCTCACTGCTAATTGAGATGCTGCACATTAATACAGATTCCACTTGCACTGTCAGCAGTCACTGTGTACAGCTATAACATTTGAATGTCTCATCCCTCATCCAAATCTGAGTCCTAAACAATAAGACTGTGCCCTACCAGCGTCTGGTTTGTACCTGTTGCTACAGGTAACAGCACCAGGATCCTGCACTTCTTTAATTCAGATATTCTGCAGGGGCTCCATGTGTCTTGTTTTCTCTGAAGGATGAGGCATGGTTTTCAAAAGACCACCACCAGGGAGTGATCAGAATGAGAGCAGGAGCAGCATGGTAATGGTCAGAAATCCTGCAGGGGGGGTAGAGCAAGGTTGGATGGTGGGTCCGGTTGGAAGGGGTTTGGGGCAAGGCTGAGGGCAGCGACTGCTTTGTTGTGACATCACAAAGTTCCAGAAGTCCTGACGGCTGGTTTTAAGGCTCAGTTTCTGAATACAGGCTGTGTGTATTTCTCTGTGGACGGAGGCTTTGATACTTTCATAGTATTAATATAGAACCTAGACCTGCTTTATAATCAAACAACACATGGACAGAGACCTTTATACTATATGGGACCTCTAAGATATTTTTGTGAAGCTGGAGATGATTTACTTGAATTAGATTTTTGTGGTATTAGCTCGTCAATCAAACGCAGGGAGATGAACCACATTTGGATTGTGTGTTGTCACCTACAATCAGAGTGAAGAAGAAAACAGGACAAACAAAGAAATGAAGAAGAAGCAACCAGTTAAAAGATAAATAGTTTATGTGAATCTCTCACATAGCATTTACCTTTACTCTATACACATTGTTTTGACTGTGATATACAGTATGTCTTTTTTTTTCTTTTTTTTTTCTTTTTTTTTTTTACAATTTGACATAATGTTTTTTCAGCATGCACTTTAGAATGCCAACAAAAGGCTCCACAAATACAGACTTCAAACTAGAATTTTCCTCACAATAAAACATACAAAACATGAACTCGGATCAAAAGCCTGACAGTTTAAGGACACAATGGAGAAGCACAGCATCAGACTACCATGACTTTTACAGGTAAGAGCAATGTACTCAACAATAAGACACAAAAATACATGTTCTGGATTAAAAAAAATAAACACCTTTTTTTTTTTTTAAAGTTACAACGTCATTCTAAAAATACACAAAGAACAGTTCCCCTTTGTCGAGTCAAAGAGTAAAGCAGCGTGTGTACTACACGAGGAGGATTGTGGGTACAGGGTGACACTTGAACAGCAAGCCAACCGACACGACACATACGTTGTGCCACCTGCCAGTCCTTTCTATCAGCGTGCACTGGGTTTTCTCTCTGCTGCTGAAATCACAGTGTGGATCGGCGCTTTTTGTTTTTGGGTGCTTATTGCAAATCCGATCTGATTGTTTGGGTTCATGGGATTGCTACTGTGCAGATGTAGCCATTCTAGAAGTCCCGCATTTAACTTGGTAAACTTCTGCTACACTTTTGCTCCAAAGTTTGGAAGAATCAAGTTATGCAGTTTTTTTTTTTTTTTTTTTTTTAGCCACCAGGAGTTATGAGGAATAGTCTGGTCAGGATAATTTGGTTTGTGAAAAGACAAACATCTGCAGCACTAACGCAGGGTAGTTGCATGTTCAATGCACGGCAAGGGCGGGGGGGGGGGGCTCTGTCTCATTCAGGTTTGTGCTAAAAACTAAGTAGAAGAGTGACAGCAAGTCTCCGCTGACCTGGCCTTTCAAACTGCAGATCTGACCCTGGAGTTTTTAGGATACACACACACATTAACACACAGCAGAGCAATTAACCTACTGAAAATACCAAGGGAAACAAAAGCAAAGATGACCATAATGTCACATTTATTCAACTTAGCACGTTTGTCTCTCTATACTGTATATACTGTATGTAGAATTTCATATATGAATACACTCCATTTTTAGAACACAAAGTGCCTCAACTGATACATCTTAATACACTTATTGCGAGGAGGGATACCACAGCAAGAAAAGTGACTCACACTGAGTGTCACGGCGCAACTTAGCAACCACCTGACTCGCCATCAAAAGACAGATGTGTGGACGGAGCCGCTTCGGCCCAGATGTGCTGTGTCGTTGTTTTATTTACAGGAGCAGTATCTATACAGTAGATAATCTCTGTTAAGGACGTGTCCAGTGCACTTTGCTTTCCTTTTTTTTTCTCCAGAGTTTCAAAACAGGAAAACAAAAAAAAAGAGAAGGAGAGAAGGTAAATGCTTGTCACAGTCCTCAGTTGCTTTCCTGTGCGCAGAGCCATGAGCCAGGCTGCTGTCAGTCAATGGGTTTTACGTGCGTCCTCGTCCGTATTGTCCTGCAGCAGTGGCCTGAAGGCTCCAAATGGGGTCCTCCCACTGCAATAGGTCCTCATACTGATGACAGTCTTATCCCAGCGTCATTCAAATAGGAATTGAATTGTCTAAATAAAATATAAACACATCTCTAAATATCAGAAATGCATCATCTGTCTGTGTTGAGCATCATGTCAGACGACCTTGCCATGCACACACTGGCTAGTTTAAATATATGCACAAAAATGAGAACAAATCAGATAGTACAAATCTATGGAGCTCATATCCAGTGTTATAAAAGCTCTATTGTATATTGCAGTGGTTTCATTGGGGGGTGATTCAATAATTCAGTCTGCAGACAAGGAGAAATATTTGCAAGAGCTCTTATTTTTAATTGTTTGACTTTTTGCCGTGCTATGTGTAAGATGCATCTAGCTGGGAGCCAGTTGCTAGGCAACCCTCTGCTACTGGTATAGACATACTGTAGGGATGGGTGAGGCACATCGCTGCATGGTTATGTCTGCTTTCCCCCACACCTGTTGGTTGCACAGAGGCAATTTGTTCCCGCCATTAAAAAAACAGTCTCCTCAATAATAAACGACGCAGCCTTTCAGAGAAACAAAAAGGCTGCTTCTTTTTCATGAGAGATTTACAGACGCTGGTCTGAGGGATTCCGGTCAGTCTGTTGGGTTTGGGGATTTGAGAGCAGCTAATAGCCCTTGGAGACGGCTGAGATGAAGTGAAACTGTGCAGGAAAATGTTATGTATCACTTGCATAACAGATAACAAATCTGCTTTCTTAGGGTGTAAATCAAGCAAATCTCAAACTGAATCTGGCAGCACATGATGCAAAATGCATCATCTGTTTGCAGTAATTATACTGATGTCTTTATATTAATGTGGTAGTGATCCACTGGTTACAATGCTACAAGCAGCACCTTTAATGGTGCCATCAAGAGTGCATGCTTGTCGACGTCTCTGTAACCATGTACAGGTATCTTTTAGGATTATTGAATAACCCCAGTTTTAGTACACACACACACACACAGAAACACAAATCATAATTCATTAACCAAGAGTGTGAGAGGGTTCTACACTGAAATCTGCCCCCCCCCCCCCTTCCTGTTCAGAAAGTTACCTTTCCGCCATGGCGGTGCCTTCCCCCAAAGCCATTAAGATAGAACGCTGCTCTCTGCTTGTGTGAAACCAGTAAAGACAACCTCTTTGCAGTTATCTGTGAGTAAACAACCAGAGACACAACAGCTTTGGTGGCGCTCGGTCAAAGAAAAAAAAACATAAAGGAGAGGGGGGGGTGGGGGGGAGAGTTAATTGGAAATAGCAGAGACAAGCAAAAACCCACATGCAGAGAGAAACGAACACCCAGATGGCGTTCTGTGTTTCTAGTCTCCTCGGTGAATTGTTGGTGAAGCCAATGGCAAAATGAGACACGATACAAGTTGAATGTACCACCCCCCAACCCCAACATAATAATATTAAATTAAAAAATAATCCTTCATATATATATATATATATATATATATATACATAAAAAAAGAGTATTTTTTTTTTATAAGTTTCTTAAGTTCTCCTCACTGTCTGCCTCGTCCCTGCTCCCCTCGCCACACTGCTCGCAGACGATGGTTACAGGATGATCCATGCAAAAACATGAGCAGGCCCAGCAGCAGGTGAAGAGTGACAGACTGTAAGTGTGCTTGTGTGAGTCAAAACACAGTCCTGAACGACATAATCGTCCGTCCTGGCAGCCATTCCTCCGGTCTCCGTCCCAAAAATCAAGTAGCAAAACAAAAGACAAAGTCACAGTTGTATGAGGTTCAAATGAAGTGACATCTCTCTTTCTTTTTTTTTTTTTTTTTTTTTTTTTTTTTTTTTTGGAAGCACGTCTTTTTCATGGTATCTAAATATAGCAACATCTAATATCCCTGATTATTAATATGTCCTTTATTAAATGTCATGGCTGCTACTTCTGAAGCCACCAGTCAGAGTTCTTTTATTGCAAGTCTCAAGTCTCAAAGTATGACGATATCTAAAGGGAACTCCAAGTGACACAGGAGAACTGACTAGATACTTAAGGATGTTAGCTAAGCACATGTACCTTCAAGGAAAAGGGGGGTGAGGAGTTGCTCAGATTGCCCAAGCCACTAACATTAGTCTTAGCTACAAGTTTAAGTACTTATCCACTAGCCACAATATCTAGAACAGTTCAGATATAATACCAAAGGGAGGTGGTTTGTTTGGGGGCAGGATGTGGGGTAGTCTAGGCCAAAGAGGCCCAGGGCTGGACATCTCACAGGATGGAGGGGATAGGGGAGCGAGAGCGCCGCAGCGGGCAGGGCGATCCATAGGGCGAGGTCACAGGAGACAACCTCAGGGCGTTACCAGCCATGCCAGTCATGCCCGCTATGTTGTTTAAGCTCCGGGATTTCTCATAGCCTTCAGATGAGTGGGGAGGGCCACAGAGAGGTGGTGGTGGTGGTGGTGGTGGTGGAGGTGGTGGTGGTTGTGGTTGTGCAGGAACAGGACATGAACACACACAGGCAGGCAGGCAGGCAGGCACGCAGGCAGGCAGGCAACGATCCGCGTCCGAGCCAGCCGAGTGAACCGAGACAGGAGACAGGAGTGAGATAGAGCAACAGTAACATACTGTACGGTGAGAGCATGCACAGCACATTTCCTCACACTGACAGTAAGGCTGATAGTTCAGCTGGAGCTGCTCTGGAGGGAGAAAGAACCGGAGTGGCCGAGCAGGTAGAACCAAAGAACCGCAGTCTGTCTGGCTTATGATGCGTGAACACTAGAAACAGGATCTTCAAACTGTGTCTGATCAGAGAAGATACATCGGGCCGTCCCATTAGCACCTTCACTTTACCTGCTACTTATTCAGTTATTGAATTACAACTGGGAAGGGTAATGTGTATGGTTTTTCCCAACTTGTATTTACAAGCTCGCATGATTTGACATTAGCCGCACTAAAGTAGCTAATATGTATTTAGCCATAGTAGCTATAGTACGGTGGCCCCGCGAGCTCAACACACTGCAACTTAAGAACACACATGCAAATAAACAAAACACAACTTCAGAAACATCGAAACATGTTTTCCTGTATTTTTTTGTTGTGTCTGTTTGCTTGTGTTTTCTTAAGCTGCAGTGTGTTGAGCTCTCAGAGCCACCGTACTATAGCTGGCTAGGTAAGCTAATTAGCTAATATCGTGACGTTCCATGACTGTCATGGTTATGAATTAATAAAATAATTTCATGACATTAATTCATTTTTTTTCCCATTTTGACCAGTGTGTGTGTTTTCATTTGAAGTTGCCATTCAGCTAACAATGGTTCTCTGGCTCCGCCCCCTCACTGAGCCACTCAGCTTTAACCTACACAGAGAAATGCCTGTGTCAGTAAAATTCCAGTCTGCCCGAGTTCAGTCTGTAAAACTATTAGTCAAATAATCAATATTGTTATTCTTAAACTAATGGGGTTGGAAAATGAAATAAAACATTAGCAGTTATTGAACTGGTGACATCATCATTAGTGTTTTAAATGCTGTAAATATTATGTCTAAATGTCTAATATATGGCAAATAGTTTGGGAATGTTTTCATAAATTGAGTTTTCACATTAAGACACATAGTTTGAATATATAACAGTCATACAGAGGCAAGTGTACGTATTAAGACTACCAGCATGCACATCATTGATCAAATGTGTTTTGTATGTGTGTGTAGAAATCCAAGTCGTAGCCTGCACATACGGATGATGATGAGGATGATTAGAAAAGGACCATCATTATTAATGTATTATTAATCTGTACAACAGCTCAAACGTCTCAAAATGCAGCATGTGATGCATGCTGGTAAATTAGCATTCATCACTTGGTGCAAAATAAACAAGCAAGCCAAAGCAGCCAGATCATTAATGGAGCATGCCAATCAGCTGGCATAAACACTGATGAGGAGCAGCTAATGGAAACGTGGCCTCATTACAATACCACATACGGCACCCATTTGTTTCACCAGGAGGAAGGGTGTAAATGAAACCAGGGGCTGTTTCAGAACCAGCCGAGCAGGCAGAACAAAGGACGGCCTGGGTCTGTGCCAACAGGTAGCAGGGACTAGAAAGGACCTGATGTTTTATGTATTAGCGTCAGTGCGGCGGCAACTGCAGCCGCTGACTGAAGCAGCAGAGACGAAGGCACAGCTGCTCAGCCGCCTACGTCGAAACAAACAAGGCTAGTGAGGAGCCTCGCTGTGAGGGAGATCACCATCATGTGCTCTCCGGAGGATCTGGACCAGATGTACAGTAGTTTCGCCTGTGAGATTATCTCAGTAAAACCATTAACGCCTTATTTTAATAATAATAGTGAAGCTCCATGCTGTACTATCACAGGATTTTTCTGAAATGGGAGCTGGAATTCAAATAAACTAAATCTTGAATTTACAAGTGGCACTCTAATGGTATGATGGCATTGATTTGCCTGCGTTACAGTGAGTACAGTGGGACTATGAGGCTGTAGAGCAATAATACTGAGAGCAAGACATTTAGATAGCCTCCTGAAGTGGCTGTTAACTTCTGATAGAAGGCAATTAGTCGAGGCTTAACGCTTACATATCACAGTGCAGATTAACACAACATTAATGCCTCAAGATGCTTGAGATAAAACTGAGGAATTAATCTAACAGACATGCTTTAGGCCTCACGTGGTATTGAAGAATTATTTCAGTTGGTCCACAAGAAAATGCAAGTGAAAGTATCTTTGCTGTCAAATCAGCTGCAGCCCCAATCTCCACTGTGTGAGCTGCTCCGTTTATACATTTTAATTCGTGACCTTTCCTACTTTTGAAATCACACCGAGCGCCAACGAGGCTCTCTGGAAGTTCAGCAGATGTGAACTTCATGATGACCTTTAGCTTGGGTTAAAGTGTATGGAAGGTCACGCCCTGTCTGAATCTGACCTTTCCACTGACGCACTGCGACAGGACTGAAGGTGACAACAGACTGTTTGAAGATCTGACAGCAAATTCTGAAGAGAAATCTTGTCTCATTGGAAACACTGTGAACTGTTCCAATATCCAGTCGTGATTTATGGGTGATAAACTTTGCTGGCAAAGTTTCAACATGGTTCAATCAGAGACGCGAATCATCATGGCGTCCTGGTGGTGCCACAGGAACCATGGTCAACTCAAAGTGGGCAAATTGACTTCTTCATTAATATAAAGGTTCACACTAACAACATTATTAAAGACTGTTTGCTGAACCAAGCAGCAATTGTGCACTGGGTTTCTCTGGATCCTGCATCAGAGTGTTCGAGGCTCTGAGTGTGATATTATCACCTTTCCAAAACCAAAAACACAAGAACAAAAGTGTAAGGAATGAATCAACCGTTGAGTTAATCTGCTAACGGCAGCATGTCTGGCTGTCTAGTTACCTAAAGAAGTAATCTAACCCAGCGTTACTTGCAAGGCCAACCTGTTTATTACCCTCAGTCAGGACTGACACACCTGATGCTTGGAAGCAGATGCTTCTCTTGATCCGTGAAATGTGGGTTTATTTAAGGCGTCCATATTTGTTTTGTTTTTAGGTGCCAAGATGGATATATAGATGCATCCATCTTGGCATCCTGTCAACATATAAGTCGTAGTTACAACTTAGATGTTACGGTCGCTGTTTACAAGTGGGAAATTGGTAATTATGGTGACTCCGATATGAAATAATGAGAAATTATAGGGGAATAATGGGAAATGGTGTTTGCTAAATTCTGCTAGAAACATCAATACTGAATAAACAATAAAATTAGATTGCTTTTCAAAGAAGTATCTAGAGAACTAACTACTAGCCTGTGTCTAAGTATATGAAGTGAGTCCTGTGACATACTGTAGAGAAAGCTACCTAGATGTGTAGCCTAGTTATTAACATAGTTAGAAATGTCAGTGGGATTTTCAGTGAAGAAAACTGAGTTTTCTACGTGCAGACAGGTGACGAACCAAAGGAAAAACCTGAAGAACGAGTGGAAAAAAAGAATGACAAAGCCCCCACCCACAGGAGACGAGGGGTCACTGATGGTTTGATGAGTCTGACAATAATGTGAATCATGATGTGGCCTTCACAGTCACCAGATCTCAACCTAGTTGAACACCTATGGGAGATTTTGGACCCAACATGTTAGACAGCGCATCAAAACACCACATGAGGGAAGAGTTCAGAGACTTGGAGAATCAATGCCGAACTGTTCTGGCGGAACGTGGTGAGACAACACTTCACTAAGACACTTTATGCTGGTTTTTCTTTTAATTCGTCACCTGTGTGTTAATGTGGTCTTGCATCTTTCTTCTTTGTCTTGAGAATTAAACTTTTAGGGTTAAAAATCTTAAGGTATGGAACAGGTCTGTTATAACAGATAAAAAGGAAAGGAGGCCATATTTATTAATATTATATTATATAATATATTTATGTTTTATATTATGTTTTTGAATCCACTGTATTAACTGACGATTAGCTCAGACATGTTCATTCTATGTAGCAACAAATGTGAGCCTGCTGTTACAAATGAAGAAGTCAAAATGCTTATGAGTGGATGGCATTAAAATCTATTATTTCAACCATTTCAATTTTTCTGATTGTGAAATAAATATCTGACATGTCTGCTTGTGTATCATCACCTTAGAGTCTGATGATACACTGGACAGTTTATTTGGGAGCTGCAGATGGGCAATGAACCTGGCAACAGCCAGAAAAGTGAGGCACGGGATCAGAAATTTATTCAAGTGTTTCCAGGCAACAAGAAAACATGAATAAATTGTGAAGAAAGCAGCAGTTCTGAGTCGGCTGCACGGACACTGATGGTCCTCAGAATTGCCAAAAAAAAGTCTTGTGGTGTGCCGCAACAGCACGGCCACAGTTTACGTTACCTTATGTGACTAGGCCTGAACAAACAGCCTTCCCTCTTCCAGGGATGTTGGTGTCCCAGTCACTAAGGATACGGATCAGCTGATGAGGATTTTAACTGTTTTAACGGCTGTGTTTTCAAGATCTTTCCTTTTCCTATAAGTAATTCTATGGTAAAATATCTGAAATATGAACTGCAAAGCATGAATTTCAGAATGATTCTTTATGGCTTTTTAACAAATAAAACTTCTATGAAATGACTTTAAAATATTCATTCAAAGCTCAATTAAATGAAATGGTGAAGCAGTTGAATTTCCCCATGCAGTTACCTGTTTTTCGTAACCCTCCATCTGCAGGGCAGGTGTAGTCACTAGCAGCAAGCAGGAAGCACGTGCCCCCGCTCCGACGGTCCTGTTCCCTGGTGCTGGACCTTCGCATGGGGACCCTCTCCTCTGGAGACATGGTCAGGTCACTGCCCCCGCTGCAGTCCGCTGACAGAACTGTGAGAGAGGAAACACATTAGTAGATGTTACATCTGGCTGGGTGGTTTTTTTTTTTTAACAGGTTCCAATAACAAATTTCACATCCAGTTTCTTTCAGTTTGCACAATTTTTAAAAATCTAACAATCTGACATAAGCTTTACGCTTTGAATCCTGAACCTATAAAACTAGATTCAGTAGTAAATAAATCTTTCACCAGCAAAAACAACCAATGGAATGTACTCGCCATGGCATACAGCTTTGATAGTGGCGAATGTTTAAGTTTCCTCTGGTAACAACAACTTATTTTTGGTGGAAATTTGATTTGCATTTGCTAACCTTAATGTCATATTTCACAAGTTTGGTGGCTGGTGCATGCTACTAACACACACTAACACACCACTAACATCGGGTCGGGTGCCACAGTCAGTGTCATGATAAAATCAAACGGCCTCACACATTAAAAGCCTGCACCAAATGTCACAAGCACCATCATGCAGTACAGCAGAGGTCAAAGGTCAGACAGTGTGTGGAGCTCCAGTGGATGAGAAAGACACATGACTAACCCCTGATGAGCCATGGTGAGTCTTTATTCGTGGGATAAATGGTTTTGCTATTCTCAGTGGATAACAATTTGTATTCTGTCCAAAAACTGAGAGAAGCACATAAAATAGCCACACCATTGTATTTGGACACATTCCATCAGTACAATAAAGGAGGCTGGGGTAATAGTTCCTGTCAGTGTATAAGAGTGGAACTGCTTCTCTAAGCATTCTCTATTGGACATGATGTTACTGGCCACAGACTGAAAATGCAATCCATTGTCATGCATGTCCATTGTTATGAAAATGTGATGGAATATGTCCTGAATTACATCATTGTGGCTCTTTCATGTGTTTTGATATGTTTTTGGGTGACAGTGGAGGTCTGTGGCATAAGGAATAACATAAGGTCCTCCATCATTACTGTTGCTACACTTCTCGTACAGAGCATATGCAGTTTACAGTGATAACAGAGACCGGTTTACCATTGAAATTCTTAGTAGACCATCGACTTTGAGAAAAGGGCAACTGTCTCTGGAAGATTTAATCTGTAACTAGCTATGTAATTAAGCTAACATTAGCTTCATGAGTCTCTTTCTGACTTTTTAATGTCGCCAGCTGAAACAATTTAAAATGACAAGCTTATAAAAGGGGTCTTAATAAAGATGCATGTAATGGTTGAATACATTATATCGTGCTCAAAGACTGAAGAAGAAGCTGCCTCCGCACTAGATTATGGTCCATGTAGAAGACATGTTAACGCTAAATGAAGAAACAATTGTATTTGTACTGCTGTATAAGGCAAGTTAAAGTATGATGAGGTGAAATAAAAATATAAAAAGAGACTGAAATTTCATTTTAACCCCATTTGGCTGCTACTTTTTTGTTTTTTCACATTAAACGTTAAAAAAGATTTGGTGAAAAAACACCAACCTCCAAAATGTTTAAATGTCGAGCATCGTCCTTATTACAACCTCATGTACACCACTTTAACATACAGAGAAATCAAAAGCTTGACAGAGCTGCTGAGCCTATTACCTTTAATCTGTGATTGGACAATTGGTGTTCAGGGGAGGGGTTTAGCAAATCGTGAATAACACTTAAGAGACATCAACATAATGACATAATAATGAGTATAAAACTGATTACCATAATACAGCAATAATCACAGAGTAATGCTACAATTAATTTCTATTAACAAAAAAAATTTGAATTTCTCTGGCTTACTATAAAGGTTTTTAAATGAAAAGGTTGATATGTTTCAGATCAGACAAAATCCACATATACTAGAAGCTGGCATTCCCTGTCACATGTGACTGAAAAATATAAGAATATATATACAGTATATGTTAAATGAAACCTTTCACATTGCAACATAAATCATGAGGCAATCTACAGGACACTGAGGAGGAGAGTAACCTTGCATACTGTGTGTTTTAAATGACCTCTAAGGAAATCACACAGGCAACTAAACCAGATTGACTCTGCTTGTGCATTCAGTTGAGGCATGAATTATTCTATGCTTATTAAATATATAAGGTTCTGAGACCTGATAAACAAACAGAGTGTGGGGAGCCCAGAGCATGCACCTACCCTCAGGAATGTCTGCACTCGAATTCAAAGAAAGTCAGTACATGGAGGTCGACACTAATTTCCATCAATATCAGCTGTGTCAGAGTAAATTACTGACACAGGCCTAGAGGGAAAAACAGCCACCTACGGTCTAAACAGCAAATGAACAATCCCTACTGGAAGAAAGACTTGGACATAAGGACTGTGAATTCTTATCAGCATGAGCTTTTTCACACAAGCATCTCCTACTCTCATTGCCTTTTGTGTAGCCTTCCTCATCAGTGTGGCATCCAGAGATGAAGGCTAGAAGGAAAAAGGGCTCAGTGGTGCTCGTGAGTTTCTAAGGGAAAACCATTTTAATTCTCAGGGGAGAATCTGTGAAATGGCTACTGCTTTCTACCTGAGATGATGTTCCTTATGGATTCTTCTTGCTGTCACTTCATAAATAATGTCCTTCAGCGTAACATGAACTTTACTACCGAGGTGTGGTTGCTCACAATTTTCTGTTCAATATGGCCTAGGATTCAACATATGTTCTTACCTGAACGGTTGCGTTCTAGTACCCTGCCCCCTTTGACGTGGCACAGGTCACCTTGAGTGCTGTTGCAGGTGGTGTTGAGATCGGCTTTGCAGTAGGTGGGGGACCCTCCCTGCACTGCCTGAGGGATGTGTTTCTTCCTCTTTTTGGGCAGCTTCTGCTTGGCCATGGCCAGAGAGTAGTACATCCCAAAGTTATTGACGATAACCGGCACAGGCATGGCTATCGTCAGCACGCCAGCTAAAGCACATAATGCACCCACCACCATGCCTGACCAGGTCTCTGGATACATGTCGCCATAGCCCAGTGTAGTCATGGTTACCACAGCCCACCAGAAGCCAATGGGGATGTTCTTGAACTTGGTGTGGAGGCTAGCAGTGGGGTCATTGGGCTTGGCGCCGATTCGTTCGGCGTAGTAAATCATGGTGGCAAAAATTAACACTCCCAACGCCAGGAAGATAATGAGCAGCAGGAATTCATTGGTGCTGGCCCGCAATGTGTGGCCCAACACCCTTAGCCCCACAAAATGACGTGTTAGCTTGAAGATACGCAGGATACGAACAAAGCGCACCACCCTGAGGAAACCCAACACATCCTTGGCAGCCTTTGAAGAAAGGCCACTCAGCCCTACCTCCAAATAGAAAGGTAGGATAGCCACAAAGTCGATGATGTTGAGGACGCTCTTAACAAACTCCAACTTGACCGGGCAGAAGGTCACGCGCACCAGGAATTCAATGGTGAACCAGAAGACGCAAACACCCTCCACGTAGGTGAGTGCAGGGTCAGTTTCAATCTCGTACTGAGGGCCCGACTCCGTCACACTGCTGTTCCGCATCAGCTCAGTCTTGTTGATGATGGTGTTGAAAGCTTCATGAGTCTCCAAGCAGAAGGTGGTGATGGAGACCAGAATGAAGAACAAAGATGCAAAGGCAATAAACTACAAGAGAAGAAAACAGAAAAAGAGAAAAGCAATTGTTACTATCAATCCATCCCTGAAATGTATGGTTATTTCAACCATGATGTACACTGGCATATGTACACACAACACCAAGCTCAATCAGTATATTTACTCCTGAGAAGGAGATTTAACTCAAACAAGTTTAATTAACTTGCATCAATTTGAATGGACTCCAGAGAGAGAAGCAATCTATTAGCAACAGCAACAAATAAACACACACTTCCTTGTGATCCTGGCGTAAAAGTGGCATGGGAATGCAGATGCAATCAGATTTAATTTACTGCTGCTGGTATGTTGGGCAGTTGGAAATAAAGCAAGCAGGAAAGTAAGTAAGTGATATCAGGGTATTGCACTATTTACCTGTTTTTAAAATCCTTTTAAAGCACACATAAAAGCACCAGGCCTAACCCTTGTGGATCAGTTGTTCACAACCTTTTTTTGCATGCGACCCCTTACAATGAAGAAGGGATGTCACTTCGGTACTAAGTTTGGATGCCAAAATTCTGTAACCTTGACGGTACTTGTTTTTGTCGTAGGCACTAGAGATGTGATTCTCCTGGGACTGAAGAGGGCAGCATAATACCCTACAAGTGTTACGTCAAACACAAAGGGACACAATAACAATAAATCCAGCCAATCCAATAAGTCCGCTATTTGTGGAACAAAAACAGGGCAAGAGTTGCTGCATTTGTATTTTATATTTGTATTGTGACATCCCTACACTGATGCAATGTCTACTTGTGATTCCTCATCAAAGGTTGCGTATGTGAACTAGTTGTGAACAGGTCAATGAATTAATGATGTTTTCGGGTTGTCTGGCCATACGTCCCATTCTTGTTAACATGATATCGCAGCAACACCTTGAGGGAGTTTCTTTGGCATAAATGACTTCGACCCAAGGATGAACTGATTAGATCTTGGTGGTCAAAGGTCAATTTCACTGTGACCTATGACCCTTTGTCAGACTATGATTCCCAAGGTCAGAACGAACTTCCATTCTCTATGCATTGATTAGAAATTAGGTCCTTATTCATTGAATGGTAACTACTTAAAATTACATGTAGCCACAAGTTTGAGTTGTGAGAGCTGTGCAGAGTTACATAGTGTTGTAATATTTTATTACACAACCTTTTCTCTGTGATGACTGAAATGTTTTAGTGAGAAATCTGTGACATGTCAGTGAATCCAAATAAATCTCCCTGATAAATCAATGTTCAATCATCTCTAACACTATCTGCAATCACTTATTTGTGTCTCAATTTAGAGCACAACACGGGTATTACAATGTTAAATTGGTTTAAAAATGAAAGCCATCTTTTGTCCATGTTGTGTCTGGGCAGCAGTGTCCAAAGGCAAAGTCAGGCAGTGACACCTAAATAGTCCTCTTGAGTGCTATTTGCTTGCCCCTTCATTCATATCTGCTCAGTGGCAGTGAGAAATAACAATTACAAGTTTAGAGCAATGACAATAACACTAATAATACAGTACAAGGTAACTCCTATGCCTTATATTGTTAGAAAGTTCTATTTAAAAAAAATCTTATTTATTCTGTAATTGTCACAATACAGTTTAAGTAACTCCAGTCTTTGGCTAGCACAATGACAGCGTGTTGATCCAATGCGTCTGAATGTGTATGGTAACTGTATTAAATGATGAGTCACATACAGATTTTATTTTGTTCTTTTTGCCCAACAGATCTTGTTTTGTTTTGGTGTTTATGAAACCACCTGTCTGCTGCAGAGCTGACATCCAGATATTCCTCTTCCCTGGAAGAAGCTCAGGCTGAATTTGCAAACATCCACGTTTTTTATTTATTTATTTATTTTTTTCTGAGAGCTAGACGGAGCAGATTTCCACACATGCAGCCTACTATGCTCTCTCTCTACCTTCCTCCCACAGTCCATCCACTGGTGTGCTCTGCCTACTGAGCTCTGAAGAAGTCGTTTTACACCCTGCCTTGTTTCTGGATTGCATGACTCACACACTCTCAAAATATTGCCACTATTTGGGTCACCCTGCTCCTGAACTGTGTGCGTATATTCACTCTATTGCTGTTAACATGCGCTCTCTTCATTATACATGTGTCTTCATCATGTTCATCCTGTTCATTCACTGACACTTTTTAATACGTTAGACAATAACAACTTCAGTTTGATGAGGTTACATCCCTCAGCTGTTGCTTCGCACCATCAACATTCTACATTCAGGAATCAGCCAAGGATCTTGCTTTTTTTTAACTGAATTAAATATACAATATATGATAACACTGAATATGTTATCAGCCCTCTTGCATCACTGTAAGGTCACAAACTCCACTTTTGACAAAAAGCTGTCTTACTTTGTATGTCACTTTATTAACACCGACCTTATCATTTTCTTTTATATTTTACCCATTTTTCATTTACCTCCCGTAATTATGTCTACATGCACTTGGCGGTCAGCAACATACAGCAGTGATGTACTGAAAGTTGGAGCATCCCAAGAGTAAGAGATCCAGGTTTTGGTCTCCTGAGGCTGCTGCTAATACAGGAAGGCAGTTGTTACTATAGAAATTGGAGTCTTATTTCCTCTGTTATAGACTGACCCAGGTTGCTGGCAGCAGCAAACAAGACAGCATTTCTGCAGCAGCATCTCACTTGTAAACCCGAGCAGTACCGCCATAAATTTTTACTACTTTTGCTAAGAAATATGACCACAAGACGCTGCAGAACCTGGTGCATGTCAAAATAAAGTTGTCAAAATGCCATGAAGTAAAAGTTGTAAGATGAAACTTTTCAACAAAAGTTTTTTTTTAATGCACCTGCAAATCACCAAAACCACACAGACTGCTCTGTGCTGGTATCAGCTGTTCCAACAATAAACCTCTACTCTGGAAGATAAAAAAAAACACAAAAAAGAAAAAGAAAATTAATTGAGGGACAGAGAATTCATTAAGCTATTGCTGCCTCTAATAATAAAATACTACAGGAAAAAAGTAAGTTGGTTTCTACTTTCATGACTAATTTGTTTCATTATTCATTTGTCTCTGTGGAGCAATCGCTATGGGAGGGTGTTGATGAAATGACAGCGGGCCTGCTGAACTGAATGCGCTGTAAGGAGGTGAGCTCCAGAGAATCGCTGATCTCATACCAGATCCATGCACAATGAGCACACGTAGGCAACACATGAAAGCTGCCGTTATTACAGATGTGTTTGAGCCGGCTGTAACCCCTAATGGATTTGCATTTTCTGTCAAGCTGTGATGTTCAGCCCACAAACATCTAGGGCTTATGGGAAATGGTGTTTGTATTTACAAAGTATGAGCGAGACAAACATCTTATTGTCTTCATGGGCTCTAACTCAATGCTACTCACACAGATCTATACTCCTGCACCCACACAACTCACTCAGTGGTTGAACTGATCAGGGATCAGATAAATGCCACTGATGTATTCAGAATGTCAGAGAGCATTTCCACTGACTGCCCACTGACACTGTGGGAGGAGTAAAGATTGTATCTTGGGGAGATGGATGCATTAATACCTTTTCAACATCTGGCTAGAATCAGACTCTCATCCATCTCTAAAGGTCCATATAGTCTAAAGGCAGATGTCCATGTGTTGTTTGGTTATAAAGCAGGTCTAGATTCTATATTAATACTGTGAAAGTATCAAAGCCTCAGTCCACAGAGAAATGCACACAGCCTGTATTCAGACACTGAGCCTTAAAACCAGCCGTCAGGACTTCTGGAACTTTGTGATGTCACAATGAAGCAGTCACTGGTCTCAGCCATGCACCAAGCCCCGCCCACGTGGACCTTGCAGGATTTGGTGTGTAGTTTCATCTGAAATCAGCTATATTTTTATTGGATCACTCAGAAAACAGTCAGCCAATCAGAAGAAAGCCTGAGAGAGGAGATGTAAAGCTATACTACAATATATCTTCTTATGGATCAACACTTCAAATAAAACACAGGAGAAGAGGAAAATATGGAGCTTTAATGCTTAAGTCTTGGATGTATTTACATGTAGCTGTTTTAAATTCAGTTAGCTTTTCAGTCTTGTGTCTGGGGTCTTAGACCGTGGCACTGCAGCAACAGAGGAATCGCTAGAGAGAACAACACATAAATCTGGGAAAAATCATTATAGTTAAAAACTTTTCTTTCTATTTATTCTGCAGAACTAATAATTATATAATAATAATAATAGATTTGTATATAGTGTTCATGTCATGAATGGGAAACTTAATTAAGCAAACTTAATTAATTACTAATTAAGTTAGTAAACTTATCATTATATATAAATTTAAAGGAAACTTAATATGTAAGTGCCTACACAAAGGTCAAACAGGTGTGGATACCTCATTTCAGTCAAAGGCTGTAGTTCAAGGTGGTTAAATTCAAAAGTAATGGACATATTGTTTTACAGTGCACAGCATGTTTAGCCCTCAAATGATCAAGCCTGCAGTCATACCACTATCTTGAGTTTACAAGTCATAAACATAGGAATACTTTCCATCTCTACTATCAATCCCATATAATGTGAACATCATACACCACAAACCCTGACTGTTTGTCCAGTTAGTAAAAGAAAAATAATGCACCGCAAAAAGTAGTAGGGTTGATTTTCCCTTTAAAAACGCAAAGTAATACCTCATGCAAAAATTCTGCTCCAACTGCTCAGTCCTGACTTTCTCCGTCTCACCCCTCTCTGTGTCTTTATCTCCATCTTCCTCTTATCATGACACTGGCTGAAGCGAACAGCAGGACTACCTGAGCCGTTTCCTTCGGCTGCTCGGATGCTGCGCCAGCTAATGACAACTGCCGCCTCGTGCTGGGCTGTGATTTTGTGGTGTTCACGTCTGCCGAGTGAGGATATATCATCTCCCCCCGTGCACGCCCGGCTTGTAACAGCTGAATCATGTCACATTAAACTAACCGGACACCAAACACGCATGTGTGTACTGTACACTAATATGCAGAGGTGCGCACGCTGATACCC